TTTAAGCCTGAAGGGATTCCTGTCCCAGCTCTTCAGGAGAGGGCAAAATTGGGAGAGAAGAGGAAAACTGTATGTGCCTGAATTCTCAACTGGAAAGTGCCATCTTCTAGCTTAGTTCCACAGCCTATGTGACTTGACCTTACAGGTCTAAGGGCAGACAAAATCCAACACCCTCTGCTATTATTTCATTAAGTATTAACCCGATAGTCAGGCTCAGCAGCCTCAATGAGCTATAGTCCTGCTGGAGATAACAGGATTCAGCTTCTGGAGGCTTCTGATGCCTAAATAAGCACAGGGGACATGGCAGTGCACTGGGGACATCAGATTGGGCCAAGCTCTGTTTTGTGTAAATCTCCAGCTCTGAGAAAGCTGACAGTGCATCTCACTCTTTCTGCTTCTGCTTTGGTTATCCATCTTACGGCCTCAGTATCTGCAGAACACCTGGGGGTTTCACTGCAAGGACTTGAACCTATCTGCCAAAATGAGCTTGCAGCAGCCATGCACATTAACTTCACACGTTGGGTGTTTGCCTCTGACAAGCAACTCTTCATATCTTTATGGCTAGACATTATTATATTGTTCTTTCATTTGATAACTGCTGCAGTAATAGCTTCCATTTGCAGTAAATCTCTTGTACTGCCTTTTTTTCCTCCCCATTAAGCATAAGACAATAACCTTTCCGGGAAGCTGTGCAGAGAGACTCAGTGAAGCTTTAAGAGGTGAGGGTAGACATGGGGGGCACGGCCAGCAGTAGCAAAGCACCTGGTAGAAAAATGCTTTTGGAGAAATTGCAATTAAATCCTGAAGCACTTGAGGAAAACCTCCTGAGTATACAAGCTGAACTGGAAAACGAATATTTAAATGCCTCTTCAAGTTAGTAAGTCTTTGTAAAATGCTGCTCAATACCTGGAAAATCTCTGAGACAAGAGAACAGACAAGTCTGGATGTGACTGAACAAAAATATTTGACTCTATTATCCTGCCAGAAACACATGGCAGAGTCTATCCCAGTTAAATGGCTTTGCAGACACTAAAAAAAAAAAAAAAAAAATTTGATCAGCTCTCCCATGCACAGCTTCGCATTCCCTAGCAGTGCTATAGCCCTGGGTTTGTGGTAGGCAGTACTGGTGCTTGCCTGGAAACCTGGGATGGGAGCAAGCAGAGTCCCAAAGCTAAGAAAGAATCATAGAATCATTAAGGTTGGGAAAGACTTCTAAGATCATCTAGTCTCTCCATCCACCTAACACCAATGTTGCCCATGCTTCTTAGTACTATATCTACACATTTCTTGAATACCTCCAGAGGCAGTGACTCAACCACCTCCCTGGGCAGCCTGTGTCAGTGCCTGACCACTCTTTTGGAGAAGTTTTTCCCTACATCCAACCTAAATCATCTCTGGCACAACCTGAGGCCACTGCCTCTCCTTGTATGGTTAGTTACATAGAAGAGGCTGACCCTGACCTTGCTACACTGTCTTTCCAGGTAGCTGTAGAGGGCAATAATGTTTCCCTGAAGCCTCTTCTTCTCCAAACAGAACAATCCCAGTTCCCTCAGTCACTCCTCGCGCTCCAGACTCCCCAGACCTTCTTGGCCACCTGGGCACACTGCTGGTTCACGTTCAGGTGAGCATTGATGAATGCTCCCAGGTGGTTTTCCTTTGCACAGTCTTCCAGCCAACCCTCCCCAAGCCTGTAATGTTGCATGGGGTTGTTGTGACCAAAGCGGAGGTCTCGGCACTTGGTCTTGGTATACTTCATCCAATTGGCCTCAGCCCAGCTGAGAGACACTTCCTTACAACCTCCTGTCATCTGCACACTTATTGAGGGTACACTCAGACCATCAATAAAGACATTAAACAGGATGGGCCCCAATACCGACCCCTTGGGAAAACCATTTGTGACTGGTTGCCAGCTGGATTTAATTTCATTCACCACCACTCTTTGGACCTGTTCTTTACCCAGCAAAGAGTGTACCTGCCCAGGCCATGGGCTTCCAGCTTCCCTAGGAAAAATTGTGGGTGACAATGTCAAAGGCTTTGCTGAAGTCTAGGTAGACAACGTCAACAGCTTTTCCCTCATCTACCAGGCGAGTCACTTGGTCATAGAAAGAGATACAGTTGGACAAGCAGGACCTGCCTTTCATGAACTCATGCTTACTGGGCTTGGTCCCCTTGTTGTCCTGCACATGCCTTGTGGTCTCACTCAAGATGATCTGTTCCATAATTTTTCTTGCCACTGAGGTAAGGCTGACAGGCCTGTAGTTCCCCAGATCCTCCTTAAGACCCTACTTTAGATGGGAGTCACCTTGGCAAGCCTCCAATCCTTTGGGACTTCTCCAGTTGACTGGGAATGCTGATAGATGGTGGAAAGCAGCTTGGCAGTCACCTCTGTCAGCTCCCTCAGAACCTTCAGGTGAATCCCATCTGGCCCCATGGACTTGTGACAGTCTAGATAAGGGGTCTGTAACTGTTTCTACCTGAATCATGGGGGATTTATTCTGCTCCCCATCCCAGATTTCCAAGTCAGGCAATAGAGTACACTCAGGACAACTGGTCTGACTATTAAAGACAGATGTAAAGAAGACAATGAGAACCTCAGCCTTTTCCTTATCCTCAGTGGTCATGTTCCCCACAGTCTCCACTAAAGGATGGAGATTCTTCTTAGCTGTTCCTTTACTGCTAATATATTTGAAAAAAAAAAAAAAAAAAAAAAAAAAAAAAAAAAAAGATGTTTTCTTTTACCACAGTGGCCAGATTGAGTTCAAGCTGGGCTTTCTAAATTTCTCCCTGCATATCTTCACAACTTCCTCGTAGTCTCTCGGAGATGCCCATCCTTTCTTTCACAGGAGGTAGGCTCTTTTTTTCTCCTAGTCTCATCAAAAGTTCCCTGTTCATTACATTGGTCTTCTTCCCTGCTCACTCATCTCAAAGCACTCAGGGAAAGCCTGCTCTCATATGCCTTCAAGACTTCCTTCATGAGGAGCATCCAGTCTTTCTGGAGAGGCCTTCACTGCAGCTGTTCCTGGGCAACAGCATCAGCACAAGGAAAGAAGACGCAAACATGCAGTCACACCAGAAGTACTTGCTTTTTTCCTCCCCTGCTGAAAGTTTATTTGGTGGTCACATACTGCAGCTCTGCTCAGGTCTAGCTCATATGGTAGCTTGTTTGCTCTGGAGTTGGGCTGAAACTTGTCAGCAAAATGCAGCATTGGATAACTAGCACATCTCTAAGGAATATAGCAAGCTGCACAGAGGTCTTCTTGACTTGGAAAAGTAACCACATGCCTGTATGCTTTGAATCAGGTTGGTGTTCTTTGAGACATGAAAAGTAGTCATGGTCCAGGCTTCTGTGAGCAGCTGAGCAGACTGGGCCGGAAACTCAGGAGAGCTCTGAGGATCCCAAAAATCTGTCCTGCTGAGCTCATGCTGGGAGTATAATCCACACAGCCTGAAGGTGAGGAGGACCAAAAGCAACTAATGACACTTCAGCAGTGGGCTGTACCTCCTTTAGTTCATAATGGAGGCGTGATCTGGCTGCAGCAGGCCTGCCTTATTTCGAGGTAAGAATGAGCTCACTACTGGTCTGTGCATGCTTTTAAAGCAGGATATACAAATCAGGTGAGCGTAATGAGTAGTTCCGTGGCCAGAGCATGTTTTTCCATGTGGGATCACAAATCCAGGTTGCAAAAAGCCTTTCTCAAAACAAGAGACATGGGTTTCTCTCTGCCATTTACCACCCTGAATTAGCTGAGCTTCAAAAAGGCCTTCTACCTTCCATCTGAAGACAGGATGGAAAATCACAGCGGTTATCCAGGTTAAACCCGCTGCTTAAATTCACTTCAGACAACGAATATTTTTGTTAGCCTTCCAAGTCCCAATTAAATACTCATTTGCAGACTGTAATTTAAAGCACGTTCTCTCTGGTGAAAGCCCTAAGAGCTATAGAGTGTGTACATATACGGTCATTAGAGTTGCTGGGTAGTTCCGTGTCTGCTTTAATAGCTAAAATATTTAAACAGGATTATCCACGGATGTGCCTTATGTCACACTGCGGAGATATGTGCTGAAGTAACATCTGTAACCAGTGCAAATGAACCGTCATGAGGGACTTCAGCCAGAGAGCAACAGAAATAATTGTCTCTTTAGGCATAAAGAAAACACAAAAAACCTTGAAATAAAGCCCTTTGCTAGGCTTTTGAGAAATAAAAGCCAGCAACACACGTTAATTTCCCCTGTGGCCGGAGAGCAGCGCTACGCGAACCGCGGCGCTGACGGGGCCGTGGCGCCGCTCCGCGCAGCGCTGCAGCCCGCTCCGATCGCTTCCGAAGCGCTCAGCAGCGCAGCGCTCGAGGCTCGCGGTGCCGACGGGGGAGGGCGGTAGCGCCTTAACGCCTCTGTTTGCTCATCTCCCACGCTCTGAGCTCGAGCCGGCGTCCCGACGCACCTCCGCGCCGCTCTATTGACCCTACGGCGGCACTGCTTCGGCGCTTTTTGGAGTCGAAGCCGCCGTGCTCGAGCGCCGCTGCCCCTCCGCGCCGCGCGCCCGCCGTGCGGGCTGTGCAGGAAGGAGTGGGGGGGTGGGGGGGGGAGCGTGCGCGGCGTGCGCGTGCGCGCGGGGCGGGCGGGCGCGCTCTCGAGGCGGGATCGCGCGGGGCGCTGCGAGGGGCCGCGCCGCCCCGGGAGCGGGGGCGCCTCGGGTCAGCGGTGCGGGGGGCGCCGAGGCGGCCGTTACGGCCTTCGCCGGGCGGGCGGCGCCGACGGGCGGCGGCGGGGAGCGGGCGGTAAGCCGGGCAGGGCCGGGCCGGCGGCGCTGGGCCGCGGGCGCCGCGGGGCCGGGGGGGGGCGAGGGAGCCGCCGCGAGCGGAGGGGCCCGGCGCCGGGGGCCGAGGCGGGGAGGAGCCGGCGGCTCCCGGGGAGTCTCGGTGAGGCACGGGGCGGAGCGGCCGCACCTGGGCGCCGGTACGGCGGGCGCCGCTCCGAGCCTTCCGCCAAAGTTGGGGAGCGGGAGTTCGGGCGGCGCGCGGAGCCGCGCGAGGCGGCGGTACAAAGAGCGGCCCGAGGGGCTGCGGGCTGCCGGCCGTGCGCCGCGCTGCGAAACTTCGCGGGGGAAAGCGGGTAACTGAGCGCTGTTTGACCGCCGTCCTCGAGCTGCGGGCTGCGTGTCCGCGTGTCTGCGAGCAGAGCCGCTTCTGGAGGCCCGGCGCCTCCGGAGTTGTGCTCCGCGGCCAGACTGCGGGCTGTTCCCGCCCCGCGTGAGGAAGAAGCTGAAGTTAGCGCGGTTAGCGCTCCTCAGGTGATTACCTGCGTTCCTAATTGAGGCACCCAAGGCTGGGTAGGTTTCCTGTGCTGTGCGATACGCAGTTTTCACAACGCTGATGTTTTTTCAGCATTAAATTCGTACCGTAAGTTTTTATTCAGTGGCCCCGGCTCCCTGTTGGTGGAGAGACGTGGTGTTGGGTTGTGTGCACACGGGGTGCCTTTGGTTGTCACGTAACCGTCCGTTCCCTGACTCAGGCTTAGAACAGGTTTTGTTTTGGTGGGAAGGAGCCGCTCTCATCATTGCCTACAGAAATTACGTGCGGTTTGTTGTAACGTGTCACACCTTGGCAGTTTATTAGGTAATTCTGTTAGGGAATTAAATACTTCAGGACCTTCTGCATTTGAAATAAGTTTGCCAGAATTGAACGTAGCGTGCAGTGCTATTTCTCTGCAGCAGTAGCAGCAGAATGCATGATAACTTCCCTGGTGTTTCACTTCCAGTGATCCTCAGCTCTGCCCCAAAGGAAACACCTTTCAGAAGCAATCCGGAGTTCCTCTTTGCTTGCCATAAAAGGCTGAGAGAAAGGATTCAGCTATTGGTAGTAATATCTACTGTGTAGATACTTGCTTGTTAGAACTTGTGATAGAAATTTTTGGTCTCAAGTTCCAAAACAGCTGGTATGCTTCAGTGCTATGGCAGGCCCAATTAAAGCAGAGGTCTGATGATGACTTGCTGTTCATTATGCTGTTTGAAGAAATTTAGGCCTCCGTCCATTGTGTGAAGTTGTATGAAGGATGCTAGTTCTGCAGCAGAATGTCGTTCGTGCCCATCATTAGCTTTGTCAGATCATTCAAGATGGTTCTCTTGTGACTTTCTACTAGCTCTCCAATCTCGCAGGCTGTTGTTTTTGTTTTACCCAGGGGGAAAGCTTAGTCACTTCATTTGTATTTGCGGGCTTTCTGTTTTTCTGGCCTGGCTTGTCTCTTTTCCGCTCCTCTTGGTTCGTTTGAATTCGATAACTCAGCACGCTGAAGTGAAAGATGACTTAAGTGAGTTGAGCGTCCACAGAGTATTTGCATTTTAAAATACAGATGGGCAGGTTGGTGATGTCTGCTGGGCATTCTGGGTACGTAGAGCATATTGTCACAGAAAAGAGATGTGGAAGGTACATTGAAAAGTCCCCTTGTCTGGCCCTGTTACCTGCCTTGTGAGGCTACCTGGTACCCTGAATACCAGGTCAGTCAGGTACCACTTCAGTATGCTTCTGAATGAGTTGGTAACTTGCGCATCTAACAGGGTGGGTACTCATGTACCAGGTTACACTTTGCTTCCACTCTAGCTGCAGTTTCTGGTACTCTACAGAAAAGTAAAGGAGTCATTTTGCTTCAAAATGTTACATTCTCCAGCATTATAGTTTTGTTACCTCATGTTTTGCTCAGTGCTTGCTTGGTGACAAAGGTTTTTTGAGAGCAGAAAGTAACTGTTTGGTTGGGTAGCTCGTTTGTTTGCACGGAGTAGCTGTGAGGTTTTATACACGGGCTTTTAAGGTGAACAAAATCCCTTTGAAGACTAATCCGTGATGTGTTACAGTGTCACCTTGCCCTACTAGCAGTGGGTGTGGGTGAAAGCTTAAGCCGTGCTCTTTGAGACTGGGGAGGAGCTGAGGCAAGCTGCTTATTATTTGCAATAGAAATGCATGCAGTGACTTCACTCCAACAAAGGAACAGTGTTTTGCCCTACTTTGGGGTCCTCAGTGCCCAGTTTAACTCAGGTGGAAGCAATCCCAGCCCTACTAGTTTGCTCAACTTCTGTCGGGGCATGTAGCTCAAAGGTATACAGTGTGATGTTAGGGTGCACGGTGCACATAACAGCATACATAGAACATCTAGGTGCTGTTTGATTTTTCTCTATCAGTCTGAGATGATTCTGCTGCACGTATATGAAAAAATAAAGGCTTTCATAATTGGCAAAGTTTTATAATATGTAAAACTGATGCACATGCAGGTTTACCTTGCACAATCCCTTAAAATTCCTGTATTTTCTTGCTTGTAATTACTTTCTCCTTCAATTTTTTTCTCTACAACAGTTCTGAAAATAGAGCCAATTTGACAGCATTATTGTGAAGGAGAGTTAGCATTTAGGATACCCTGGTGTTCCTGCACAAATAAGTCTAACTGCTTGAAAATATACCTTGAAACCAGAAATTAAGGAGCATATTCATGTCCATCTTGAAAATTCATTACTGCAAGTGAGCTGCCATTCACTTGTAAAGAGGAGGAGAGATTAATCAAAATACTAAAGCATAGCTGATCTAATTGGCAAGTGTGACTGAAATATTTGCCGTGGAAGAAAGTAAATCTGATTTTGTGAAACATCTAAGCAGATCATGGTTTGGCAGTGGTTTTGTTTCCCTTTGGAATCACCATTTTAAATCCAAGCAGAACCTGGATGTGCTGTGTGAACCTGGAAACAAAATTAAGGGCAAGCAACAAGATCCACAGCTTCTAACATGTGGTGAAAGGAAATTAATTGAGTACAGTGCAGTCTAATGGACTTAGTGTTTGTGTCCATTCCTTGAGTTATTAGGATGCAGTGATTGGTGCCTTATAACCAAAAATTGGGGTTATTAGGCAGCTGTCAAAAAATTATATGTGTATTTCTTCATGGATTTGAGACTCTCTTAAGAAAGGAGAGCTACTGTGTTTGATAATGCATTTCTTTGCTTTGCTGATGGACTAACCTGTTCCTTTTTCACTAGCTGGGATAGTCTTTTGTCATTTAAAATGCACTGGAAACAAAAAGCTGTACCATTTTCCCCCCCTTGTAACTTATTTTAAATACTTACACTGAATGGTTCCAGGTACACTCTTCTGTAAGCAGAAGTGCCAAGTCACAGATCTGTGTTGAGTTGTAAGTTGGTCATTTCACATCTAGCAAAGTTCAGGGTCCTGTGGATTGGCATGATGCCATTTTACCGTGGCAGACCTGGTAATGTTTATGTTACAACACCTAACCGAGCTTTTCAAGTCTCCTCTGTTTTCTTAACTTTGTTCAGTTGCAAACTTGAAGCAGCTTAAAGCATGGTGGTCTCAGGAAATTGAAGTTTGCAGGCTGCTGAGCAGCTACAGTGCAGGTTGTAGCAATATCCTCTTCTCTCTCATGTCTCACAGGGTACTTCATCACTGGTTTGATGTGTAAGTAGGTGAGCCGCTCATGAAAAACAAAATCCTTGAATTACATGCTAACATAATCAAAGGTAATACATTGTCCCTTTGGATCTTGATGGGGTAGATACTCTTCTGGTGCCATGAGCTCTTACGTGAGATCTTGCTGAGAAGTTGTCTTCTCTTTATCTGTGCTACCTTTTGGCAGACTTAACTGAGCTGTGTTTAGGGAAACAAAGACATCTGGGAGACAGTGATGGAAGGGAACAGGATTGTCATCTTTGTAGGTTCTAATATAACTAATTGAATGAAGTGTTTCTGAGCCAAGTTACAGATAGAATAGAGGTTTGTCTAGTATAAAATCTGCCTGTAAGATAGGAAGGGAAGTTGTGGCTGTAGTTACCTGATCACAATCTGTTGAAATAAGCAGCATGTGAGTAGTAATTGTAGTGCTGGTTTCTCTCAAGTGCACTGAGATCGCTAGCTTCTTTCTCACAGGGCACTGAATGATCATTAAATGCTAATGACTTTTGATTACTGTTGACCTCGGTCAATTTAGAGTTAGTGACCTAGAGATGAAAACCACTGTATCTCATTACCAATTTCCTGAGCTATCTGATCTTTCCTTTGTAGGTCAGTTTTGATAAGAGGCAGAATAGAATTAAAGTTGACCCCTGTCTTAGAAAAGGAGTGGAAGGCTTTCAGGTTTGCAGTATCGTGCTTAGAAGCAGCAACAACAACAAAAGAAAGCAGCTACTAGGAAAGAACTTACCTTTTTGACCCCATGGATTGTCAAGAGCAAAACTTATCACTTCTAGTAGAAAAACAGCCTATCACCTGTAACCTTGAATTTCTCATTTTGTAGCTGCAGGTTTTCTCATCTCAAGCATCCATTTATAACTGTTGTTCTTACTTTGAGCTATGAAGCAGCAAATGAGTGTTTATAGGATAAATTGCCAACTCTGCTCTAGGATGTTTTCTACCTGCAGTTGCCAAACTATGTGTGCAGGATGGTAAAATCATGCGTTTCATGTTGTGATGAAGCATTTCACTTAATTTCTTTCCATATGCACAGAAGCGAATGTGTGATAATTCACTGTTATTGTTCACTGTAAACTCTTTAAATATAGGATGTTTTTTTATACAGTTGTGTTTTCTATAGACTGCCATTCATACAGCAAACATGGCATGGAATTCATAATGAAAATGCATGATAAATGTAAATATTTTTCCTCACTTTAATATGCAAGCTCTATTTATTTTTATCAAGCTGAAAACAGAACTTTTAATTTGAAAAGCAAAACTCCACAGTGTACAAAAATCTTGCAGAGTTATGTTAGTATGTTTGGGAAAGAAACATTCAGTTATTGAACCTCTTACTGTGGGTAAATGGCAGAGGTAAAGCAGCTAAGGAAGAATGTAACAGGAGGAGATGCTGCACTCGGTTTGGGCCAAGCCTAAATTGGTGAGCATGCAGGGAAGGAGGATGTTTATGATGAAATAAATATAGGGATAAATGTTATTCTTAAATACTGTGTTTTGATTTGATTGCTTTGTCTCAAAAAAGGATATTGCTGTAAAAATCAAAAGGGGGCAATGAAAATGTCTGCAGATACAAAAAAAGGCATATTAAAAAGATGAAGGTTGTCTTGGTAGGGAAGCCAGTAAGAAGTGTTGTGCAGAGATGCAAATAACAAGAATGTGAAAATAAAAAGCAATTTTATTCTCTATTCTTCTATTTTATAAAAACTTCTATCTAACTGCTGACTGGGCTGCTCAGAACTCCCTGTATTTATTTCCTTGAAAGCACTAAGAGCGTTCATGGGGGAAAAAAAATAAAAATATCTTTGTGGATAAAAATATTCTGAGGCTTTTAACCTTCATACTTTAGAGCTTAAGATTATCGCTAAGCAGAGTTGGGAAGAATATTTGTAAACAAGCATTTTGCTAGCATACCAGCTATAGCAAAATACATTTTAGCTTCTTTGTTGGTTCAAGATGCAGTTCTATTGATGCTGTTCTGAGAAAGAAATACTCTATTTTTAATTTTTATTTTAATGTGTATTCAGACTTCTTTGATAGCTATCACAGCGTTACCCATCTTTGTCCCTGCTTTTAGTCTTTTTTTTTTTTTTTTTTTTTTAAGGGAGTCCTCACTGAGTGAGACCTAGGGACCAACTTTTTTTTGCAACAAACAGGAATAGTTTGTTTCAGTGCTGCCTATCAGAAACCTGTGTGAGGATGGGTGGTGGGAGATTTAGTCAATCCTACCATGCTTTTTTACTGGAGGAAATCAAGAATAGAGCTGTCAGTCCCCTTTCCAAGTGAGGACAGAAGGGTTGGGATGGAGTGGTTTCTTCCAAGTGATGAAATAATTCATAAATAGTTAAACAGCGTAAAGCTCCTTGGCTGTCTGGGTTGTGTTTCTTGGTTTTGTTGTTTGCTTTTTTGCTTTTTGAACTTGTACACATCATTTTTTAATTAGTGTTTGAGCGAGCTTAAATTCAACGAGAAGTAACGGCGGACAGGTAGATCTGTTAAATATTAAGTGCATATTTATTTTGGTTAATAGAGATGTACCATCTGAAACTGATTTCTTTGGGGGATCCAGAATTTAAACAAAGAATTTTAATAATGCATAGGCGTAATAACAGCCAAGGAAAAGACTTGGCAACTTTACAAAAACAAGAAATATATGCATGTTCTCATTGCCTACTTGGAATTTGTTCCTCAGTTCAGAATCTGACTGTAGCAGCCCACTGGGAACTGTGATGAAGTCTTGATTTTTAAGGAAATTGTCCACTTCATGTTTCTACATGAAGAGCAGAGCTCTAAATGTGAGATAGAGAAAAAGCACAACCTATTAGAAGACAAAAAATGAAAATTTGGGGCATACTTGCTATTGCAGAAGGAAGGACTGATGCAGTGTGAGTAAGAGTGTTCCCATCAACCTTGGAAATTCAGTGATTTCTCAGTTGTAAGTTACCTTTAGAAAGGCATAACTATACATGTTGCACCAAGCACTGCGTGCAATATGATTCCTGTGACAACCTTCCCAATGGTTTTGCAGCATATTATGGTCTTAAAGGATAATTACAACTGGGAATGCAGATACATTATGTGCATTTGGATTTAAACTGTAAAATTAATAATTCTTTTTGGTTTTGACAGTTTGTGTTTTAAACACTTTTTAGCTGGGAGGTGATTTCCAAGGGCTTATAACTTGCTCTGTATCATTTGAAAGGAGGATGAAAGTGGATGCATAGTGGCTCAGCCTCATAATGTAGTCCTTTGCTAAGTTCTTCACATCTGGCATTTAGAATTTTCATTAGGCCTGTGCTAAGATTTAAGCATGGAGTTTCCTACACCCTTTAAGTTAATACTTTTGGTGTGGTTACTTTGCTTACCAGTTAATATTGATGACTCTGAAGAATTATATTTCTCTCTTTTTTAGATGTTTATAAAGTTCCATTCTGTTAATATATAATTAATAAAGAAAAATGAAAATTACTGGAGAAAATGAGGAATGCATCACAACAAGTCTTCAGAGATCTTTGGGAGAGAGACAGTCCTTGCTCCTCTCATCAGAGAGAGGCTGCTTTGAATTTGAAGTTTTGACTCATCTTTCAACAGGGCACACATCTGAGCATGCTTTTACTGACTGCAGTGAGCTGTAAGTCATTAACAGTATGTGTATATTAAAAGAGGAAAACTATTTTACAGGAAAATAGATGGTAGTTGCTGCCAAAACTGAAAGAATAGTGAGTGCAAGAAGCACTGATTCTTTCTGTGCTTTTCTTTTTCCACTTCACTTGAGACTAATAACTGATACATGGTGGTTTGTTTTGGAGCTAATGAAGTTCAGTGAAAGGTGATATGAAGCCTGTGGAAAGGGTCGTAACTTTTTCATAGGAACTTCTGGGGTCTGTTGTGGAAGCATTAATACTTTCCCAGTTGCAGGAGACTAGATTTTGATGGATGGTTTAGGAACTGCCAAAGATGGCTGTTAGGCTTTGTGTCAGCAGGTGTGAAGTTTTATCTTTGGTTACTAGGGGTCTGGCTGGCTTTTGGATTTGGCAGAACAAACTTCAGCCATAGCTTTTCCTGTCCTCCTTCCACAAGAGAGCACAGCATGTTTGACATTGTGTTTTGTGGAAGTCAAAGGTATGGTTGATAGCTGCCAGTTTACATTTGCTATTAGTCTTTCCTAGACTGAGTTAAACAGTGGCTCTGTCATTCCGTTTCTCTTCTGTAGCATCTTGGTAACCTTATCTGCTATGGGTGTAATCTTTGGGCTACAGAATTGGCTAAATTGTTTGTTGGGACCTTGCTTTTATTCCGTGGGATTGGGTAAAATGGGTTTATGGAATGAAAATCAAATCTCCCATATGAATCCCCTAACCTCCTCTATCTTTCTCTTGCCAGTTGCAGTGATGAAAACCAGATTTTCTGACATGTGGCTCCTCTGTATCTGTACGCTTCTTCCCCTGTGGAATGGCAAACAGGTTGTTATTGTAACTGGAAGGGATGGAAGTTTACCTAAAGAGGGGGGAAAAAAAAACTTGCACAAATCCAAGAATACTTTGTATTTCCACTAAGTTCTCTGCTGTGAGCAATTATAAACATCCCCTCTGTGGGATGAGTTTCTTTTCCTTTACCCTTTCTTTTACCATCACAATTCAACATGACAAACGTGGTCAATTTGTCCCAAACGAACCCATCACAGATCAAAAAGAAAAACAAGTGAGAAAGAGAGTAAAAAATGAAATAAAAGCTTGCTAGGAAATATTTCTTTGGCAACTGCATGATCTGCCTCTCCGTCTATTTAGGAACAGGTCTCTACTTTTCAGCCACACCAGGTTTAACCTACCATTTTCTTTTAAATTAACATACAGAGGAGATAGATATGTGCCTGGAAATAATATTTTATCAAACCACTGCAGCCAAATCTTGTGATGACCACTGCTGGTGTTTTTAGTGTGGAGTTACCTCTCAAGGAGACCTAATAATCTGTGCAGTATCTACACTTAGGCATTACAATTCCAAGATTGTGTTACAGAGCTGTAGCTGTGGCAATTGCAGTTATTTTTTCAGTAAATAGCCTGAGTAGCATCTCTGTGCTTCAGTTTCAGTCCATGGCAGATTCTTGACAGGCATTTCAGCAAGTTCAACTGTTTCTCCACCAGCCTTCCGTCAATTTTTTATTTCAGTGTATGTTCTTGTCCAGCAACACTAATTAATGGATACATTTGCTTGAAGATCAAAGAGGATTTTTTCTTTTGAATTGGAAAATAATTGTGAAATGATGTTAGAATTATCAACCCATCCAGTGCTTTAAGATGGGAATGTTGACACCTAATACTTTTGTTATTCTTGCCTTTATTTTTTTAATGCGCTTTGACCTTCTACCTGATCTAAATTTAATTCAAAGTAAACTAATGACTGAAAATTAGGGGTTTTTTTTTAATTTAAATGATTTCATTGGCATATCTTATATCCTGTTTATTTCAGAAAGTATTTGTTAAAAGAATCAGGATGTGTTTGCCTCTTGAGAAATGCTTTCAGCCTGCGGTTCATAAATTGGTCAGATTTGCACTGAATACTTGGAAACATTGACATTCACTCCGATTTGCTTTAATCTGATTGCACATGTAGAAGTTCCCTTCTGATGTGGTGCAGCCATGTTGTGTGTAAGCTGGCCTAATTAATACTACTTAGTCATTTGGGACCCCTGTCAAAAGCTATTACATTACCTAGAAACATAAGGAGTTAAAGCTAAAGCTGTGACCTCATCTCTATTCATGTTACATTGGAGTAGAAACTACGTGGAAGGGGGTTGTTTAACTGTGTCGCTGTCTTTGCTGCTGCTAGCTGATTTGCTTTCATTTGGTTCCCATATTTATAGCATGCTCTTTCTGAACAACTGCCACAGTAGGGATTTGTGAGCATCCTAGACACGTACGAAGCCATGCTAATATGAATTGCGTGTGGAAATAGCTCCCGCAGAAACATTCAGGCTCAAAGATGTCTCTACCTGATTTCCACATTTTATCCCTTCCCCTGTGAAATCCAGGCAGCATCAAGGAGAGCTGAAATGCACGCGCTTCTAGCCAGTCAGGCACTTATGTAACTGTGCGTGCAGTTTCCTTTATTACTTAGCACTGCGTACTAAACGAGGAGCGCAACTGCTGTCGCTTTAATGTTGGAGCCGCGTACGTTACAATAGGTGTCACTGTGCGGCTGAGTCCAATCGTTATCAGTGACTTCAGCTATTGGCTCTGCGTGCTGGCTGACTCCATCTGCAGGGCTGGAATATCTGGTCGCTTCGGATCCGCTCATCGCACAAGTTGAGCTCGCTGAGCAGGCGAGCGGTGCTACGGCACGTCTTGCTTGCCTCTGGTGGGAAGCTGCTGCGACAGCCGCGCGTGTGCCTCTGTGCTGGGTGTGCTGCTTTCGGGTGGCTCGCGGTCAGGAAAGCTGGGAAGAAATAAAACTGGCAGGAATGATGGGGATGTATTTAACAATTCAAGTACTGGATCAAACTTAAAGCCTGTTTTTTTTACTCGGAATGCTGGAAAGGTCACCTTGTCTTGCTGGAAAAGAAACTCTCTGCTCTGCTGCTCCGTGTATAACAGCTCACACGTGCATTTTTTAACGTCCTTAGCTAGTCAGGTTATCTAGCTATACAGACAAGTATACTCATGGTAGATGAGAAAGGAAAGAACATGAAATGTCTCACCTTTTTCTTGATGCTTCCAGAGACGGTCAAGAACAGGTCCAAGAAGAGCTCTAAAAAGGGAAATAGCAACAGCAGCAGCAGCAAATTGCCTCCAGTTTGCTATGAAATCATTACCCTGAAGACCAAAAAGAAGAAGAAGATGGCTGCTGATATTTTTCCCCGAAAGAAACCAGCCAACACTAATACAACTGCTGTCCAGCAGTACCACCAGCAAAATCTCAATAACAACAACACTATTCCAGCACCAAACTGGCAAGGACTTTATCCGACCATCAGAGAGAGGTAAGTTCGGGAAAGTTTATTTTTGTTCTTTGAATGGAATGGTGAAAAGTAGTGAGATGCTCATAATGTGTACTTTTAGCTATTCATTTATTCACTGAGTAAAACAGTTCTCTCTGCGGAGAAAAGTATTCTAGTAATGGAAAATATTTTCATATCTGTTTTCCATACAGTGCAGCTGTCTGAATAATAAACAGTGTAAATAAGAATGTTGCTGGCTGCAAGCAACAATGTTGTTGGTGTTAGTAGGTATTTGACTGATTTCCACTTTTTGAAAAGTTTTTGTAATTTTTATACACCTGAGCTTTGTTTTTTCCCCATACATGATGTATAATGTAGCTAAAAACAAAGTGTAATCTGCTTTTCATTCTGCTAGTGGGTAACTTTAAAGTGTTCAGAAATCTGATTTGTTTGTTTTGCACAGATGCACTAGGTACTATAAATTAACATGTTGCCTCTGTTTGTAGAAATGCAGTGATGTTCAACAATGACTTGATGGCAGATGTTCATTTTGTGGTCGGGCCACCAGGTGGGACCCAGCGGCTGCCGGGACATAAAGTAAGCAACAGCTGCATTGTCTGTTTTTTTTTGGGGGGGGGGCAGGACTGGCAGGAGAGCTCCCACGGTTACACCAGGATGCAGCATATGCAGGACTGGGCTCTTCTGGGGTAGGCGTAATTCTATGCAGTAAAAGGCTACATGCAGTGCTGTCCCTTGCTTTTCTTTGTTTCTTGTATGCTTGTATTGAGGCAGTCACTGCAAAGTTAGGAATGCTGCTTGTGCTGTTGATTAATATTACACTTGAGACTTTCTAGAAATAGTTAACTTGTGTAGTGGATATGAGCGGTTTCCAGTAGCTAATGCATATATACCCATGAGAGTAAAATGAAGCGGAAAATGTGTAATTCTGTTCTTAACTTTGACTTCATTTCTTACTGAAGTTCCTGTCGGTGAAGCCCAGTATGTTCAGAGTGGCTCTCCCACGTTGTTTTTGTTGGCAGCTCTTTTCAGCTTAAAGCATGAAATAAGATTTCCCTTTCTCAACAGTATGTCCTGGCCGTTGGGAGCTCAGTATTCCATGCAATGTTCTATGGAGAACTTGCTGAGGACAAAGATGAAATCCGTATACCAGATGTGGAGCCTGCTGCTTTTCTCGCAATGCTGAAGTAAGCATCGTTCATCTGCTGGATGTATTTTTTTTCATGATGTACCACATACTTTAACTATGACAGTACCGGTATATTAGACTTGCATATGAACAGAAAGAAAACAGTTGCTTGAAATATTCTCCTTTTTGTGTTTCAAGTATTTCAAACTTTTATCTGGTTTTGGTCTCCCCTTCTTCTTCCAGGCACGCATATATTAGGCTGATGTAGGCAGTTGCAAATAATGACTTTGACAGCAGATCTTTGGGCGCATTGTATACTGTAATGCCTATTGATTTGATTTGTTGCCACACAAAGGAATGGAGTTACTAAAAAGATTTGTCAGCTATAAGAAAAAAAAAAAAAAGAAAACCTCTGCTACACTTCACAAGCATAGCAGAAAGTTAAAAACAAACAAACAAAAAAATCAGAATTGCTGTGTTTGTATGATGGCATAGTTACAACTTTTTTGTAAACTTGCTGTATGTGTGTCTGGTCCTAGGGGAAAAAAAAAAATCACACCCTAAATATTGAACAGAGCTTTTGGTAATTAAATTTCTCCTCATCTATCTTACTGATGCATCTAGAAAGTGATAAAAAGGCTGTTGATAAGAGTAGAATGTGTTTTACTCTGTCTGGGGGTGCTTGGGGGTGTCAGCTTATGTGGTTATTTATGTCTGTGATTTCTTCTTGCAAACGACATAAGAAATGCTGTTGTTTCTAAGTGAACACAACAAATTGGTTTCCCTGCTGAGTTGTCCTTGAATGTATCTGTAAACTCTGGTTTTTAAAGAGAAATCACCTATCACAGAACTGCTATTCCTTTGAGGTCACTTTTATTTCCTCTTCAGCTTTAGTAATTGCCATTGCACCCTGATAAAGAGCATACATTAGTACCTGATAGTAATGCTTTCAATATGCTGCAGATTTTATTGCGCGTAATGATGTAATCACTAGCTACTTATTGTCTTCCACAGATTCTTTTGACTAGCTTATGATTAGAGTGGTTTCTTTTTTTTTTTTTTTCCTTTACATGCAACTCTGGCTGTTCTTCTACAGTGCCACCAACACACAGAGTTTGCATAGAGGTTTTTATAGGTTATTGTGAACGTCAGAATTGTGCAAGTATTAATAACTGCAACAAAAAAGCTGAAGTTACAGAGCTATTCTATAGATCTGGAATGTAAAGTAAAGATAGAGCATTATGTCAGTGCTGTGCTGCAGATCCCCGCATTGGGCCTCTCTGGTTTTGCAGGTGTTTTATGCAGGGCTCTGACTTGTGCTTTGCTTTCATATAGACTTTTACAAAGCACAAATACAAGATACTTGGATACCTCTCCCCCTTTTTGAATAGCGAATCCTATATCACTGTGACTGAATGTGACATGCCAAGTAAAAACTGAGCGCTTTTTGAATTTATCGTTGTCATGAAGGAATATATTCAGAGTGCAAACCTAGAGAAGAGAATATATCAATGCTGATAGATAGGTCTTGACGAATTATTTTGCCCATGGCAATTTAGGGAAGGATCTTGGAAGACATGACCAGAACCCTGGAATTCTTTACCCTCTAGGCTTTTAGTTTAAAAAAACAGAAGATGACACAAACTTTTTGTATTCATTGTGGACATTGAGCTAACCTTCCCAGTGCTCATTTCTGCTGCTGCAGTGTTCCTGAGCCCACAGAGTGCTCCAGTGCCTGCAAACACTGGAGCTGCCTGCAGCTGTGACTGTGCAGAGATGGGAAAGGATGTTGCTCAGCAGTGCAGCATTCCCCTCATCGCATGATCCCAAGCATGTGCTGCACTGGGCGGAGCCTGGGAGGAGATACGGGCCCATCACTCCTTTCCCCCCAGGAAATCTTCCCCATGAGTGCTGCCTGCAAGTCTTGTGAGTGGTGGGTAGCATAAAGCTCATGATACAGATTCTAAAGGAGAAGACTTCTTACCCATCCCAAAGCAGTCTTATCTCTCATATGGTGATTTTCACAGTCAGGAGGGACCTGCAATAATCTTTGTAAGAAAATACATTGTTACTTTCTTTCCTGGACAGTGAATTCTTCTAGCATAACTGTTTTTTCTCATTTAATATATAGTATGCATACTTAGAGTGAAGATCTGATAAGGTGTTGCAAGATATAACATAGGAAATAGCACATTGACTGATATGCATATATGAATTATTCTCTCAGTGAAATCAACTTGGCAGTTTTCTATAGTTTTATAAATAGAGTCAGAAGGTTGTTAAAATTCATAATCCTGCTGACACATTGAGTTGGTGTCTTTACTGCATTATATCTTAATATTGACTGTTCAAGGTAGAACTATGGTCTCTTGTTAAGCCAGGATGAGTGTGTTATTAAACCATCAAAATCTGTGCTCTAGCAAAATCCTCTTTATAAGAATAGAGTGAAACTGGAATATGAGTAATTGTCAACCAGCATCGAGGTGCACTGGCACAGTGAGAAGTGTGGAATATTGCTGACAGCCTATCTGTGCTGTCTGTTGTAAATCACTGGTATTAGTTTTGTACTTTCATGAATATTAAACTAGCAACTTTGTGCTATTTCAGTATAAAACAGATGCCATCATTCTCTTTGGTACTAGCAGGCAAAGAGAAGTAATATGAGGGAGAAAAGAGTTGGAGAGCAATGAGGAGAATTATAAAACCAGATAGATTGACACATTCAAAATATTTTGGACAGTAAAATACCTAAGGCCTTTGTTGTTACAAATAGCCCAGCTGAAACTGAGTAATAAAGGTTTGGGTTGTTTTTTGTTTTTTGTTTTTTTTTAAGTTTGTAGGAGTATTCTTTTTGTCCATAACCTCTCCCATTTTGTTATATTGCTTGGGCTGCATCTGCTCTGAGTACAATTTATTGATATGACTTGGAGGATAGCATCCTACAGCTGCAAAAAAAAAAAAAAAGAAAGAAAATACAGATAAAGACATATATAGCTTCAATCATTTCAGGGTAGGTACTAATTCCCCTTTCTAAGTACATTCCGTTCTGCCAAAAATGCATTGTGTTGGGCAACTTGCTAACTAGAACATTTTAATTACTCCAGGGTTGCATAGAACTTCATCTTCACTAGAGGAAGGTGCATTTATCAAGCGTAACCATCAAGACTTGCTTATCCCCATGAAGAGTAAAATTGCATTTGGCATGGTTTTAACACATGGCATTCACCAACTGCAAATGGGGCCCTGAAGCATGAAATATTACAAAGAACAAACTACAATGCTTCATTTCTCCAAGTGATGAATCCTAGCAGTTTAGTCACAAATATAATTTCACCTTCGTCACTTCCACTACACTGCTGTGATAGTAAAAGGCTTTTTTTCCTCCTTATGTGCTGACAGTGAAAGAAAACACTGTATTATTGCAGCTATGATGCTGTAGGCATTAATAAACTTGAAAATTAATTGTCTATGCTTTTTGGGTTTTTTTTATGTTTCATTGCCTCGTTTGGAAACTAACAAAAAGAGAAACATCAGTAATTAAGAAGATGAGTAGCACCTGTTACACTTTAATAGCATTTCTGTTCTGAGAGATTAGCTAGTTATTAGCAGTAAGCTAGTTTTCATTCCTCTGTTGGTATGTACCTCAATAAATCATCGCCACTGACTATCTTGGGACATTAAATCCAGGTGCCATTTGTAACACGTGTTCCATTACTGTTCTGTTAGCCAAGTAAGTTAGCACTTGAGGAGCTACCTTCTGAGGACGATATTTTGTCATTAGCCAAAGCGTGTACAGAAGGAGAACAGCTGAAGAAGTTGCATTCTTTGTACACTTTACCATTTCTGCATACTCTGTGCACCAAATGAGAAGTTTTTCTCACCTCAGATTTAAGCATGTTCTCTTCTGTGGTCTTACATGAGTGATGATTTTAGCTTGTGTTTTCTTCGTGGATTTAATCTGTTCCCCAAAAGCACTACTTAAATATTCCTTCTTCGTAGTTTTGAGATGTTGACAAATGATCCCTTTGCATTAAGCATGCTTGTTTTATTTCAGATACATATATTGTGATGAAATTGATTTGGCTGCAGATACTGTCCTGGCCACTCTTTATGCTGCCAAGAAGTACATCGTCCCTCATCTTGCCCGCGCCTGCGTCAACTTCCTAGAAACAAGTCTAAGTGCAAAGAACGCCTGCGTGCTGCTTTCCCAAAGCTGCTTATTCGAGGAACCTGACCTGACCCAGCGCTGTTGGGAAGTGATTGATGCCCAAGCTGAGCTCGCTTTGAAGTCCGAGGGCTTCTGTGACATTGATTTTCAGACGCTTGAAAGCATTCTCCGAAGGGAGACTCTGAATGCCAAAGAAATTGTTGTTTTCGAAGCAGCTCTGAATTGGGCCGAAGTGGAGTGTCAGCGACAGGAGCTAACGGCCACCATCGAGAACAAGCGCAAAGTCCTCGGAAAGGCGCTGTACTTGATACGTATCCCTACCATGGCACTCGACGACTTTGCAAATGGCGCTGCTCAGTCTGGGATTCTGACTCTCAACGAAACCAATGATATCTTCCTTTGGTATACAGCTGCCAAAAAGCCAGAGTTACAGTTTGTAAGCAAGCCCCGGAAAGGCCTTGTTCCTCAGCGGTGCCATCGTTTCCAATCCTGTGCTTACCGCAGCAACCAGTGGCGTTACAGGGGCCGGTGTGACAGCATTCAGTTTGCTGTTGATAAGAGAGTGTTTATAGCTGGCTTTGGGCTATACGGCTCCAGCTGCGGATCAGCAGAATACAGTGCCAAGATTGAACTCAAACGACAAGGAGTTATCCTAGGCCAGAACTTGAGCAAATATTTCTCAGATGGTTCTAGTAACACTTTCCCTGTGTGGTTTGAATATCCAGTACAGATTGAGCCTGACACCTTTTACACAGCTAGTGTGATTTTGGATGGTAATGAACTCAGCTATTTTGGACAGGAAGGAATGACGGAAGTTCAGTGTGGGAAAGTGACTGTTCAGTTTCAGTGCTCTTCGGACAGTACAAATGGCACTGGGGTACAGGGAGGGCAAATTCCTGAACTCATATTTTATGCTTGAATGTGTGTGGAGTCAAAGCATTTTTTCCTATGAAAAACCTGTCTAGTTCAGACCTACTGACGCTTAGCTCTTTATCTGCAGATATGTGATCAGTACAAGTTATTTGTCACAAACGCTACGGGCAAGTTACTGGCTTGCTGTACTTGTAGCTTCATTGGTGATGAAGTTTAAGTGTAATATTTAATTTTAAACTGGAAGCTCTTATGAATAAGCAAGTTTTGAATGCTTAGTAAGAGAGATACCTGTTTGCTGGCGATGCTGAGCCTTGCTTTGATGCACCTGAATCCCCAGAGGATGTTCTCATATCTCGTGGGCTCTAGAACTCCTTCCACTAAATGCTGTCACCTTTGATCAGTTTTCTCTTTCTCTGTTTCCCGCTCTTTGCTTGTAACTATTTGGGGAGATGGGTAGAAAACAAGGAGCCTTGTTTTATAGCTCTCTTCTGCGTACTCTTCAAACTGAAGAGATTCCAATCAGCTGAGCTGATTTGATCATGGAGGCTAACAGAAGTGCTTCAGTTCTAAACAGAAAAAGTGTATATTTATACCATCATCCTGAGAGATTCTGCTGTAGCCAGCTGTTTGGGGAAGCTACACAGTGTGCTGACCAGAATGCATGGACACAGTGAGTAAGGGTTTGGGCTTGACATGTGACCCTAAGAGTTCATACTCCAGGAATCCCATCTTGAAGGCAAGGAAGTACTTGCACATGTTCAAATTACATACACAAGTTGAAACCTCTACTCTTTTCACCTAATTTTGCTACACTGAAGTTGATTTGCTATTTAAATTGCTTTTCTTCAAATCCTCATTAAATAGACAGGAGTTAATATCTAGCATTTAATGTAGGGCAGTTTTTATATTTTTCTTATTTTCTTCCTAAACATTTAGAAGCATGTGGTAGAGAAACAAAAGAACGTACCGGTCCCAACTTAGACTTTTTTTTTATACTATGAGAATTTTGAAAGAGGCAAGATTCCCAAATGTGGTCATGTTTCAGTTAGTGTATATCATTAGATAAAAGTAAGGAGGATCTCTTACAGCTGCTTATGTGGAACTTTCACTTTATCTGAGTCCTCTCTAAAGCTTCCTGTCATATGTCTGTCATCTCTGGAAAAGTATTAGGGTTCACAACTCTTTCTGAGAAGGAAATAAGTATAAATAACAGATGTAGGTACTATTTAAATACAAGGAAATCATTCACCCTTGCACTGTGACACTTGTATCTCAGAGGGACTTATTGTAGTACAACTCATTTAATCTCCAAAGTGGGTTCTTGTGTGTGTGTTTGTGTATGCACGTGTGTTTTAACAAAATTAGAGGACCAAATAATTATTAAGGCAGTCTGAAGATTAATACATCAACACATGAATGTAGCACAACCCTAAATTGACTTATCAGTTTTGCAATGAAAATCTATTTCCATAAGATTTCTTATCAGTTTGACACTATTACTCTTATGTGTTTCTTGACAGATGGAACCCTGGCCTCTGGCCATTGTTAAGTGCCAACACTTTGCAGTGTCCAGAATATCATCTGAGATGAGAAAAACTGGAGTGTAGATAACAAACACTTTATGGCCAAAGCTCAGTTCTTTCCTCTGGGTAATAAAGGAGAGCCAAGTGGAAAAACTACCCTACAAGATCTATGCCTTTCACCCATCTTACTGTTTAGTGTTTTATATACATGCGTGTGTGTGTGTAAGCAACGTTCCTTCTAAAATGTAAATACCCTCAAAATATGGTGATTTTTTTTTCTTTTAACAGATGTACATAATCCAGACTGTTACTGAAATTTAAACAGAGTGGTCCATGGAAAACTCACAGAAAGAGATTTTAAAACAGCCGCCAGTTAAATATATTTAGATGTGCAGCCTAAAATAAACAAAATGTGGGGACTGGAGAAAGAGTTGCTCAGGAGACTGCGAAAAGGAGTCTAAGATTATCGTGAGGTAATGGTCATCTACCTGGAGAGAATGTTTTGAGGAGCAATTCCATTTATTTAAATAGACTTGGAAGCAGAGCAAGATGCTAATCAGCCTGCTAAATTTTCTTACAGCAAGTGGTTGACGCAGATGTAATAATTCGGAGTGAATATCAGATTGACAAGCTGCTTGCAGTAGCAAGCTGCATTCTGAGTTAAGGAGAAAAAAAGCATGAGGTGCCTCAGCTGTTGGGACAAATCAGTACTGCACTGCTATAACTAAGCTCTGGTTCTCACTTTTAATTTTGTTGGGTTTTTTGCTTGTCTGCAAATAAAGGTAAGCTATCTGTTACGTTGGCAGGAATAGATGGTAGGAGATTGGAATACTGTATAGCTGTATAAAATTAGCTATTATTTAATTATTTTTATTTGCTGGTTTTATTAAATCATTTTGACGAAGCAGGATGAAAGCTACCTCTAGCTCAATTCCTCTGAGTCCCTTCCAGGTTTTAGGAGCTGCTGCATGTAAAGTTGTTTTTTAATATGGATCAATAAACATAAGCACTCCGAAACAGCTTTTGAGCTTGATTGTGAGTCCTGCTTGATGCTGACAGGTGCTGTTGTATTGAGAAGGTGGCTAGTTGTAGTCCCCTTAGGACATCCAGGCACTTAAGTAGCTGTCCACATGTAGATTTGGTCAGTTTAGCAGTAGTATCTAAGCTTGAACACATGGATGTTTTGCAAGCATCGGCTGTATCAACCTGGAATGTAAGCATAATGTCAGTAGAGATAACTTTTGGTAGATTGTCTTAAACTGTACCTGGCCATCTCTGCTACTTGTATGTTTGATTTTCCTGGTTAGGGGAATCTGTGATAGGGAGTATAATGTAATATACTTTCTGCATATCTGAAGTAGTATTTAAGTAAACACTTTAATTTCTACATGCTTATTGCACTGAACTGTTTCATTTGTTGTTTGTTTTGGTTTGGTTTTTTTTAATGTAATTAAATGCAGCTAACTTCAGGTAACAGCACTCGTTTGTGCTGGAGCAGTGTTTGATTTTGGCAGGCTTACAGCATTATTTATAAAGGACAGATATATAAATATGAAGTACCTCATGTTGAATGTTATTGTACTGTATCTTCAATGTCACAGTGCAGATCTTGTTGGACTCATGAATGTGTATAATCGCATTAAACCTACAAATAAAAATGGTTCTTAAATGGTTGCTTCCCGCAGTACCTTTGAATAACAAGCTGTGAAAGCCTTTACTTAGCTGTCTTTTAACGATTCCTATTGTACAGTTGTGCACAGATATTTGTGGAGCTTATGTATTCAGAGATCTTTCGATCTCCAAAGAAATAAGTCTGAGAAAAACAAGGAAGAACAATGAAAATGTTAATCAGTTACATTGTAAAAGGGTTGACGATTAAGCTAATGAGCTAGGGTGAATGAATTCATTTATGTGCTTTATGAAAGACCTTGTCTACTAGCATTAATATTTTAATGCTCTATTAATATTATTAAGTATGCGTAGATGAAGGGGGAGGGTCTCGATTATGAAAGACACTTGGCACAGGAAAGGCCCTGGTTTTCAGTCTCTGATCTGTCTGGATAAAGGACATGATTAGTGTGAAGAGGCTGTTCTTTGCTGGAAAGTTCATTATCTAATAGTATTCAGAATTCTGACTATTTTCTTAATATTTTTTTTACAGGATTTTTGAGTCTTCACTTTAAATCCTTTTATTATCAGTGAAGCTGAAGCCCCACTTGATGTCTCTGTGCCAGGACCTCTCATATATTACTAGCTCTTTGTGAGAAGTACTCCACAGTGCAATATAGAGGCAGGAAAATTTAAACGAGGAAAACTTCCGAAGTAAAAACTTTAACTTCAGACATTATCCAGAATTCTGATTAAAGCATGTTTACAGGCATCAAGATTATAGCTTTTGGTAAGTTTTTTCTAAAATTCTTGCTGCTGTACTTAGTACTGCTGTATACTTGATCCAAATTTCCTTTGGTGTCCAGTGTTTCCGATTAATTTTGAAGAGACCTCAAATAGGAATTGTACATTCTGTTCTGTACTAATGATGTACCATCTCTTAATTGGGTGGGGAAGATAGCAGTGTGATTTGGTGCAGGACCACATCTACAGCAGCAGTTAAGTTGGTTATGTTGTGGAAGGATATAGGTCATTCTTCTTTTATCTTGTCCACTTAGTTCTTAACTTTATATCCAAGAAACTGAGGCTGCCAGCAGCAGCTATCTCATCCAAAGGGATGTTCTTTATTTCTGGCTGAAATGTAAAAGAAGTGCCAGGACACTTGCTTTGGAAATTAGTGTGAGATAGAGCTGTGTTGGTCTCTTGCACTGTGTCCACTGATGCAGAGAAGCTAGTTTGCATTTGCATGAGAAAGAAGAGAGTTTAAAAATGGCTGGGAAACACTACTGGGATGATATGGGAGGAAGAGGAGTCCAAAAGCAAAAGTCGGTGCTTGTCACAGCTGAAATCCCACTAAGTGAGGCTTTCTGCTGCCATTTAGTTGAAAGCTCTTGAGGAGCTGATAGCCACTGCTTCTCATGAAGGGGAAGGCCCACCTACAGACTCCTTGTGAGTGCTTAGAAATCCAGAACCCAGGATTTCTTGCCTTTCGGGGGCAAGAGATCTTGTACCACTGCCCTCAGCAAGCCCATACCTCCTTAGGGAGGCCAGTTGGGACCTGTAAACAGGGAGGGCCTTGTTGGACACCCCAGACTCAGCACTCAGGAGGATCCAAGGTTCTGGAGCCAGTTCCTGGCACAAGAGTGAGATGGGGACTTCAGCCTATCTCACTGGTATCTGGGCACTGAAAAGCAGTGGCTTTTAAGCCAGCCTATTCTACCATGCTCTTGCAGGCAATCAGTGGGAGGAGGAATACCTGCTGATTTCCTGAAGGCAATGAAAGGAGTTGCTTTTTCAAACACGGCAGTGTGACTGTGTTCAAAATAAAATTACAAGAAGGCTTTTTGGCATGCTGTTCCATTTCCACATGTCTGAATTTATTTTCCCCCTAAGACTTCCTCACAAAGTGAGGCATTGGCCCAAATGAAATCAGTCAGAATTGCCCTGGTGACCCTGATAAAGCCAGGATTTTTGCTTGCAGTTTCAATTTGAGTGATTATTCTGAAAACACAACACAACTGTAAAAGAAAGGGAAAATAATTTTGAAATAACACCATAATCTGATTATCTGAAATAGAGGTAGAAATATTTCTATTAAATTTTACAAAAAGTCCAACTCATTGGGAGATTTTATACTTTCTTGCCAAAGCCTTCCTGCTACTAAGGAAATGCTTTGTCTTTAGCCATGACTCTATAGGAAGAACAGTAAATCTGTATGAGGCTTTATATAGACTTTTTACAATTTGCATTTGAAATTTGTAGCACGTAAGATACATAATATGGCTAGAGTATTGTTAAGATGAGAAGGTGTGTGTAAATGGCTCATCATCTCTTCAGAAAAAAGGAAGAACAAAACGAGCTATTTTGCTTGCAGGCACTTATTTTGAAAGAGCTTCTTGAACTCTGATGAATTTGTGGATAGCATCAGAAATGCATTTATATTAAGCCCTTAATTATAGCATTTTAAAATTAACTTTCTACTTGTTTTCTATAGACAAAGATAACATAGTTGTCCTTTGGGAATCCTCCATCCCTCTCCAGTGGAGCTTACATTTGAACACATGCTGGCAGATGCAATTTTCTAGGTTTCATTTTTAAGCTTTGCACACAGTCAAGTTATGTGATGCTTGGGAAACAGCAGTGTTTCAGGAGTAGCCCTGGCTGTTTTCAGTCTAACAACAATCAAGGGATTTCCTGGGAGATCATGCTGTGGATAAGTACAGAGGAAGGGTTTCAGTCCTACAGAAGGAAACACCTGGTGTTGACTCATGTTGACAGCACCCATGTGCTGAATATCATGTCCAACAATTCAGCAGCCATGCAGAATTGAAAGGCATAAACTGCCATGGGAGACTGCTGCATATGAAGGCAGCAGTGGAAGGTCCTGGGTGCAGGGCTGTTTCACATAAGCTGATATATGTGTATGTATTTCAGTGGTCCCTAGTCTCACTTTCTACTTATTGGTTGTTATTACAAGGGAGAAGCAATATTAATTTTTTTTTTAGGGGTATAAAGATTATAGACTAATTTATTCCTCTGTCGTTTACAAAGTGAGCAGCCTCAGGGGCTCAGGGGAGGTGGTGTGAGACAGGACTCTCAGATACGCTACAAGCATGTGTGGAAGTAATCTGTTTTCTTATGTCTTGTTCTTAGGAAGATACCATGCAATACAATAAATTCACACAGAGCTGGGATTTGACGCATTCAGTTTGTTTCTGTAGCATGACAGAATAAAAGTGAATAAAGGAACCAAGTGGTATTTAGCTTAGAAATACTAAATTCTGCAGAAATGGCAGAGCATAGGGAGAGCACAATATAAAGGCATTCGCAGACATAAGGATATTGCCCTTTGCTTGCATTTTTGAGCTAAGGTGTGACATGTTCTCTTCTTACCCAGCAGGGCATACTGCTAGTGATACTCACATCAGACCCCATTAGTGCTTAGGGAGAAGTGATGCAGAGGGGACAGAAATGAAGGTCAGAGATCTGGAATATGAAGGAAAAGTAATCAGAAAGAAAGAGCCTTCATCACACACATGTGATAGATAGTAAACTGGCTGTGGGAGTATTATTCAGGGATCATGAGAGTCTAGTGAACAGAAGATTGGGTATACAGAGTCATAGCAACTATTTAAATGATTCCAAAAAAGTTGCTTATGCTTGAGGCCTTTCTAGGCATTTAAAGGAATTGTTTTGCTGCCTTAGAGTGGAGGCTATACAGATGGTTTACCTTTTTTTTCCTCCATGCTTTGTAGAGTTGTTTCCTTACAATACATGCCACATAAGCTGTTTTTCCTTCTCAGTGCTGGGGTGTGAGCAAGCTGTCTGACTGTGCCTGAATGTAATCATCAAATATAACCTGTACATTTTGTATCACTCTCCTACATTTCACTCTATCTAGTCTTTGTTGGCTCGTAATAAAATGACAAAGGGCTGACAGAGCAGGAGTCCCCAGACACACTTGGGAGGTGATGCTTTCTCTACATTTGCACTGTTTCCAAGGACAGCAGAAGCAAGGACCTATGTTACCAGCTACTCTTGCCAATTTGATATGAATTGGGTGTGGGCTCAACGTGCTGCCTTTCTTTTGGATTTGCTGGGGCACACGGGATGGCCACTGTGAGTTCTATAGTCTGTGTCACTTTTCTGCCAGCTGTGGGGTATGGATGATCCCAGGACTGTTATGAAGGCTGCTACTGTTTGGAGAAAATATAAACTGACAGAGTGAGTTCATACTGGGTCAGCTTTTCATGGTATTTTGGGGCTGCTATTATGAGCTTTAAAAATCACTGAAGTGCAGCATGAGATATTTAAAATTTGGGGTTTCTTCCAGCTCATGACAGCCATTTTTGTTACCGTTTACAGGCAGAATAGTCCAACAGAGCCAAATGTGAAAGCTCAAACACTGCTGTAGACGCAGCTTTCCTCATTGTTTGTCCAGGAGCTAGATGTGAAAGGTAGTGTTAACCCTTGTGATATGCACTGATTCACTCCAGCCTGGCAGCCAGAATCAGATCTGAGTGCCCAGGGAGATACCCTTTGCTCTGAGCACTCAGTGATCATGAGTACCAACAAGGGTTGGGGGTACTGGGAAAAAGCAGAGGCTTAAAACTGAAAGTCAGAGCACTAAAGGAGATTTGTGATTTGTAAAATCAGCTGAAAGATGGTGTGCTGTGGTGATTCCTGCCTAGAAATTTTGAGTAATGCAATCTGTGGTCGCCAGTTGAAGGTGATTTTCAGGTAATGAAATAAGACTCCCAGCATCAGCAGTGCTGAGAGCAAGCACCTACTCTTGTTCACCTAAGAAAGTTGGCATTCAGCGTTCTGCATCTGCTTTTGTAAGAAAAAGGAGAGTTTCTTGTCAGCACTGTTTAAAAAAAAAAAAAAAGAAAGAAACAACTGAAATTAATTGAGTTGTGTTAGTGTGACTTCATGTAGGGGGAGCATCTTCAGATTGAAACTTAGAACTATGCAGCACAGAAAGGATCTAGCACGTTAGATTACAGTAGGGCTGATGGATTAGTAAGGATCCCCTATCCATAATTTCATCGAGCTGGGACAGACAG